GTACTGTTGGTTTTATGTTTTTCATTGCCATGATATTTCTTCTTAATGCTGGAAGCATGGAAATTTTTGCAAACAAACAACTAAAGCAAAGCAGAGGGCTTTCTCATCTATGGAATCCTGTCCCCAAGGAGGCTTGCTTGGAATGCTCTGTACAATCTTTTAGACATTCGCTTAAGGCATTTTTATTCTTTTAGGCATTTTAGATATTAGAAAGATACTGTATTTTAATCACTAAAAATAAATCTCTCTCTGATGTTTTAATGGTTATTTAAATAGTGCTTTTTGTATATTGACTTTAATTGTGTGATTCCATTATCATTGGGGCTTTTTCTCTTGTTTTAATTTGCATTGCAAAATACACTGGAATGACCATTATGAACAAGTATATAAATTCAGTAGGTAAATAACCATTGGTCCATGTAACTCAGTCTTGTTTCTGACAGGAAGTGGCTCTTTAGGGGTTCAGACAACTGTCTTTCCCAATCTAACCCAGAAATGCTAGGGATTGAACCAAGGACTTTTTGCATGTGCTCTACCACTTATCTACAGCCATTCTTCTTGTTTCCCTTCAGCATACAAACACACAAAATACCATGTTCTGCTGTGCGCATAAGGGTGTGAATGTCTAGACTGGAGCTAGTAAACAATGGCAGTACAAGAAAATTGGAATAGAGCAGGTCCTTAAACCAGCTAGGGAAGCAGATGAGAAACATGGCTAGGAACTCCCTTATTGTCCTTGTCCTTCCCAGCCTTCATGGTTAGGTAAGCATTTGGGGGGCTATGATGTCGAACCTCTGGCTCTGTCTGGTTGTAGGGCATTTAACCTCCCTAGAACTTCTTCTTGGTTTAAGAGCCAGTTATATCACTGGAAATAATGAGGAAGATCAAAATCCTGCAGTCTGCTGTAACTAAAAATGTGTAACTGAAATAATTGTACTTCACCTTAGCCATGGTGCCTCTACTTCTGTTCCCTTATCCATTTTTGTGACAAGTTTTTGATTATTCAGTCCTCAGAACAGGGACCTGTCCTTTTGTTCTCTGAAAGATTCCTAGGAATATTTGGACAACCCCATGGTTGGTGAACTGTTATGAATATCATTTAATTGTATCTATATTGCATAAATGTCAATCCTGAACAGTGATGAAAACCAGTGTAAGGCATACTGTTCTTGCCTCATTGCCCATCTTTGGTGTTAATTACATGCAACCTCTTTGGACTTTTACAGACTTAATACCAACTGAAGTTGAGGCCTTTGATTCTGACCCTCTCTCTTCTCCTCTAGCCATTCAGGGAAATAGCTATATGGGGAGATGTGAACAAAACCCTTGTGGTTTGGTTTTTAAAAGAGAGAAAAAAGTTACAGCAGCTGCAGAGTATCATATGAATAGGTTACTGAGTTTGATAGAACAAGGCACATCAAAAGATCTTCTCGCAAGAGAACACTGTTAGTAATAAAGAGCCGCCCAGATCAGGCTGATCCTCCTGTGCTACTTAAACTTGGATCCTAGAAAAGCAGCAGCTACCTTTCATCTAATCAGTGGTTCCCAATTGGAGGTTCGGGGACTCCTGGGGGTCCGCAGAGTGCACTCAAGGTGTCTGCAGCCCCATCCCTTGTCTTCCCCCATCTAATTTTTTAAATCATTTTTGCATGGTAATATCACAAATATTATGCTCTGTTTTAGCACTGTGCAATTTTTCAATATATTGGCAAAAATCTGTTTTTGAAATCACACCGCTGTAACAATTTTGACCAGGCAATACACAGCAATATATCACTCCTCACTCGAGGGAGAGTAGGGCAGCCGATTTCAAGGCACCGCCGATATTGCACAATGATCTAAGGCGATAACACGGCTAATCTGAGCTGCCTTCCCTCACACTGAGGGAGACTAGGGCAGCCGATTGTGAGGTGCTGCTCACACTGACTGAGAACAGGGCAGCTGATCACCCTCACTTCAAGGCACCGTGGCACTACCTTCCCCTGGGCACTGAGGCAGAGCAGCTTTTCTCAGTCAGCAGGAAAGCAGCAACCACAGTGGACATGCATCTTCGCTGGCTGCCCTGCTGACAGTGGCTTGAAGCACCCCTCATCCCCATCCCCTCCTACTCAAACCATTCAGTGGAGATGACTCTGCTTCTTCTCCTTCCCACCATCTGATCTCCATGACTGCTCCTTCCCTCATTACCCACACCTGATCTCCAATTTCAGACATTGTGATATATCAGAATATTGCAATGTTTAGCTGCTGATATGTCATGATGTTGAAAACCAGATATCGCTCAGCCCTAGTCTGTTTTTTTGGTATACCTAAAATCTCTTTGCTTATTAGGGGCTACCTCACATTTTGTTCATAAAATTGCTTTGCAGAGGTAACTACCATACAGTTATCAAACTACCGTTTTCAAAACTGGCTTGGCTTTTGAAAGCCATAAATAGGGGGGTCCTCAGTAATTAGCTAATTGAGAACTACTGATCTAACCTATTAAGCTTTTCATTAGCCTGCCTTCCTGATAAATCTTACCAGGGAAAATCAACTGGCACGCTCACACATTTTAATACGACTTCTTTTTCTTATTTCTATGCAGAGATGGTTTGGGTTTTTTTAGTCAAATGGTTAAAAATTAAACCCAGAGGTAATATGAATTAGAGTGTTCTGAAAGAGTAATAAGAATTGCTATATATTAGTTCTTTCTGCTGCTGGGCCCCTGTTTGCTAACAGTTGAGAGAGTGACTGATGGCTTGACATCACCCCACTGAGAGTACAAACATTTTCCGCTGTTTCTACTTAGGCAGTCAGGATCATCCTTCGTGAAGAGCCAAGGACCACCCTCTTGGTCTCAACACTTCACTTACAGCAATTAATGCCAGTGCCACATTTCCAAAATAAATAAGAGCTGCTTTTGATCCAAGCTACTGTTTGAACAACTGTTGCACACGGCAATCAAATTTTCAGGCTTTTTCACAAGGATGAAACAGAAACTAACTAAAAAAAATTTATAAAAAAAACAATCCGGAGAGAACTTAAATATTAATAGATTTGTTGTGGCATAAAATTTCGTGGATAACCCAAATTGCCTTTGAGGTGCTATGGGAATCTCTGTTGTCTTTGCTGTAAGATTTAATACAGCAATCCCTCTATAATTTAAGACAGTAAATCTGATATTGTCAGGCAGTGCTTCTCTCCAGAAACTGTTTCATTCTTTGGCATAGTCCTGGGATATATGGGAGAAAGAGGAGAATGCTCTCATCCTATGAAGAGGCCATCCTTGCGTTCTCACCTATCTGAGCAAAATGGATCAACTAGATGACCCTCAGGGTTCATTTCAACTCTACAATTCTATGATCATGGATATAACTTGACGTTCCTGCAAGCACAACAGCTCTTTCTCCAAGCAACACAAGTGTGGAAATTCTCCAGATGAACACTTGAGGAACCTCATATCTTTCTAAGACTGGCCTCTGTCTAGTTGTCAGGAGAAGGAGTCATTAAACGCTGCTTGGTTATTCCAAGCATCACCATGTTGTTGACTACTCAACACATCATCAAATAACAGGAAATAAAAGAGGATACAGATTGCATAAAGCTTGCATATATTAATGTATATGTAGAGATGCAAATTTAGAAATAATTAATCTAATTTAAGTATAACTACAATTCCTCTCACCAGAAGTGGGGAAGAATGTGACCAGGTGACTTGGGTGCCTCCTCAGTCTGCCATCTAGGTGCTAACATTTGATGGGCAACTTCAAGGTCCCAGTTACTATGGTTTGTTATCTTTAAACTGGACTTGGGACCAAACAGCCATTCAAACAAAGGACTCCTTCTCTGACAGCCCTTCGAATACAGCACTGTCCTCTGTAAAGTAGGATCTATGGCTACCCTGAATATTGGTACTCAGTCACTCTAACACGTTTTTTTTTTCTAAGAGGGCATAAAATATGCTTGACCTGGATTATTAAACCTGCCCTTTAAAAGGTCTGCTGCTGCGTGTAAATGGAATGCTCTTGTAATTTAAAGAAATCTTAAGAGCCTGAAAAGTATCCTGCTGAATTTGTGATTGATATCATGCCTGTCCAAGTATTGACAAATCCAGCAGGCCTGTTTCTTTAAAGCAATTTACAACTGACTGCCTTTTTGGGAGAGTAGTCATAAAAAGGGCCACTAGATATTAAAGTGTATCTCCAAAGCTAGTCCTACTCAGAGTAGACCATGCCTAATTTAGACTCATTAATTTCAGTGGGTCTACTCTGTGTATAACTTCGTTGGATAGAACCCTAAGAGTGCAGCACTGCACTGTTTCACAGTTTTTGCAAGCTTAGCAGAAAGAAACACTGCACAGAAATGTATCATGCAGTAAGTACAAAGCTTGTAAAATACTATTTTCCTTTTTATTCAGTTTACTGAATAAATGGTTTGCTCACACCCACCTCCCCAAACTCTGTTTGGAGGCAGAGTAATATTTATGTGAGAAATATAATAATAATTTAAGAAAATCTCTACATGCATACTGCTTCCATAGGTTCAAACTGTCCCTACCTTCCTCACAGGGGTTGTTCCTATGGCACCTGCAGACTTCAGTATTTTCTGGGAAGGATTCAGGTACATACTGGAAGTTTAAGTTTCCACAATTATGGTGGATTAAGTGGCTCTCTTGTCCTAGTACAACAAATCCACTTTGAAAATATACTTCTTTCAGTTAGGAAAGTGATGGGGAAATGCACCGAGAACTGTGGAATGAACAAATAACTACTAGCAAGATGCAAACAAATCAGGATGAATTGTTGCATAATAGCCCTGCAAACAAATCAAAACCAATGTAACGGAAGCTTTGTGTAAGCTTCGTGCAAGTAAATCAGGATGAATATTCAATAAATAGGTCATCTGTAGGAGAGCCTAGGTTTTGTCCCTATCCCTGGTAAATTCCTGGTCAAATGCCCCAGTGGATAGTAGGATGCATCTTGTCAAGGGTGGACTTTGGTCTTTCAAATTTCAACTGTGCCCTGTGTGAGGCCAAAATTTAGCAGCCCCGTGCCTTTTGCCTTCTGTTATGCTCAATTCATAGTTGTGATGCCCTGCAATGCCCCCTAGGCTTGGCACCCAGTGCAGAAGAACCAGTTGCACTGCCCTAAATCTGCCTCTGATCTTGTCTTATCTCTGAATATCAGCCGCTGGGAAATACAGGTGGGAAGAGAGATGTTGCACTCAGGTACTGCTTGTGAGCGTCCAAGGACATCTGGTTGGCCTCTGTGAGAACAGAATGCTAGCCTAGATGGGCCCTTGACTTAATCAAGCAGGGCTCTTCTTAAGGCTTATATATGGACCTATAGGCACAAGGATATTAAAGCACCAAGCAGATGGAAGGAGTGAAATGCAAGGAGAAAGGGGCAGAACCCAAAGGGGACTAATGGTATTGTGTTTCTTAAGGGCTCAGAGCTGTCTATACAGTGGAAGATAGGCTATTGCAAAACAAACCAATGCACTGTACATCAGGCACTGAAGAGCCTTTAATAATGTGGAGGGGGTGATATTTGTTATGAAAACTGGGATGCTTCTTCCAAGCCTGGCCCTATTTTTATTTGCAAAATGTTGGCTGGTATGAACTTCATTATATCATGGTTTGCTCCTAAATAGTAACCATAATGAGAACATCTGGGCTGTTTCCTTCTCTTTGTGTTCCAGATCTGTCAGCTTCTTTTTTTAGTTATGAGGTGAACTGAATAGAATGTATACACACCTCACAAATGGAGAGACCAATCGTTTACATCATTCCCTGCTCCAGGCTTCTGTCTGACCAAGGCAAGTGCTGAGACATTTCCCCTTTGTAATCTATTCAGAAAGTCTGTGGTCCTGTCTGTGGGTCTAAAGACCAGGCAATAAAAGGCTGGGAGGAAAGTAATAATCTGGCTATATATATTCACTGAAAAAATGACTGTCTGGTTCTCTTCTGTTCAAGGAGTCTTGTATTAGACTTCCATGAAGACATTTTTGTCATATCCCTAGTGATAGGGCCCCAATGTTTGCCTGAAGTGGACTCAGATTCTGAACTAGTTGCTGCCACTCTCTGACACCGCAGTGCCTAGCCTGATGGTGTGGCTTTCTCATCACCCTCAGATCTGAGAATGACTCCCCAAAAGCTTCCCCAGCTCCATAACCATGCAAGAACATGTGACTTTAAAGGCAGCATATGTGAGGAGCGCGTGCAGGAGCCACGCCCTGTGACCAGTAGGACTTTGCAGGACTGGGGCCTTCCTAAGTTTGTTCTGAAGAGGCAAGGCGTGGCTGCACAGGTAAGGCCGTTTGGTAACTCACAGCACCTGGTGGCAAGAGCTGGGAAGGATATAAGGTCAGCATTTCCCTTCGGCTCTTTGCCACAGCAACTCGTTCCCTGCCTTGTTGTGTTTGGTTCCTTGACTCCTTGCTTCTTGATCCTCGGACCCCTGACTTTCTGACTCCTGGCTTCTGGTGTCCCGTTCCTGCTCCCACCCCGCCATCTTGCCCCCGGTCCCAACATCCCCAGCCAGGACTTTGATTACCCGTGAACCAGACCATGACAGCGTACAGCTCTTTCTAGGAGACAGAGCCACTAGAAGGGGAGGCCCTGTCAGGTTTTTTAAGCCTTCAGATGTCAACATCATCTCCCATGCCTAAGCAAGCAGAGCCTAGTGGAAGCTGCCCAGGATGTCCTGGATGATTGCTAGGATATGGTATAAATATGCCCTTCCTCTATGCCACCCATGTCTCACCCACATCTCTACCGTATGTTAGTCATTCCTCTGGTGTATCTGGCAGAGTGGTGAGCAGGGTGCTGATGTGCTCATGCCCAGCTTGAAGGCTTCCTTCATGCATATGTGGAAGCCACATATACATATGAGGTGAGCCACTGTCAGCATAGCAGGGCTTCCACCAAATCCGATGGCCTCTTAATCTATGGCTCACAAGTTTAAAATTGAACCCTAAATTATTTTGTAAATGTAGCTTTGTTGCATAACAAAATAACCTTACTAGTCATGCTTTTTTGACCTCCAGTGGGGATGTAATAGGGGACATTTAAAATTCTGTGCTTTCGTAGAGGGGTGTGGACAATGAAAAGAACCAGATAACTATATTGGCTTCTCCTTCATTAGAGGTACTTGGGGAAATCAGCAATTTCCTCTTCAGCTGCTGGCAGAATTTGGTCCTGGGGCTTTCTTGTCAATGGTTTAAATCAACAACATAAACAAGCCCTTTAACTAGGGCTTCCAAATTAGACATCTCCACAGTGCCCCCTTCAATCATTTAGTTGGGGAGGACAAAGGCAGAAAAGATTAGATCACACCTTCAAGTAGAAAAGAAACAAAACGGAATGACAGGAATTCAAGAGCATGTTAAAGCTGTTTTTAAAAATGCCTGGAATGCAAATTAAAACCATATAGTAGCCTGCAATCAATAAAAAATGTTAAGTACAGCTCTAAAAGATTTTTGTCCTATCAGTAAATTAAAACCCAAGCATAAATATTAGAGATTGTGGGCATTTGGCAAAAAAAGGAGGAAGATGAAGTGACAACAATGGTAGAATTAGACTTAATATTTCTGGGATTAAGAGAACTAGGGAAGGGAAATAGCAGGAAAAAATGTTATGTGGAAAATAGCCAAACACTGATTGTCCTCAGGCTAGAAGAAATCAGGGAAAAGACTAGTTTAAAAAATCTGCTGAATGGGCCAGAGGATTAACTAATTTAAAATAAAATTAAGAATGCTTCAAAGTCACCCTACATAAATTCAAAATAGAAACATTAACTGAGATCCAGCTCTGTATCACCATCATTGATGCTTTGCTTGCTCTCTCAGGATGCCAACACATTAAGGTCTTAACTTTAAGTTGAATTAATGGTATGATTAGCAATCATTTGGGGGGGGGCTGGAAAGGTGTGATATTCATCCCATTTATCATCCTAAAGCTCCTGCTGGCACTATTGTCATTGATGAATACTGGACAGGACCAAATTTGACACAAAGAGGTGGTGAACTTTCTTTTATGCTGGCCAGAGTGACATATGCCTTAGGTATAACTTGTTTGGATTTTAAAGCACTTGTAAGGTCCTTTAAATGAGGCTCTCTTTGAAGGGTGCTCAGAAAATTCAGTCAGTTAAGAATGCTACAGCCGGACTATTGCCCAGGGCTTATTATAGGAAGCATGCAACTCCCATGTTACAACAGCTTCATTGACTACTAGTCTGTTTCCAGGCACAATTCAAAGTGCTGATTATGACTCTGGCTTTGGGCCTTGTAAACTGACTGGATATGGTCACTATAAATTTACAGAAATTGTCACAACTGGCTGTTGTATTTATAAGTTTAATTGATGTACTTTACCTGACCCATTTTTTTACCTGACCCTGGATAGAGATAGAGAGATGGAGATTATTTCTTAATAAGTGTTTCGGACCGCACTCTTCAGCACATTCTCACCTTTCCATTGATCATAGAATCGGAGAATTGTAGAGTTGGAAGGGACCCTGAGGATCATCTCCAGCAATGCAGGAATATGCAGATGTCCCATACAGGGATCAAACCTGCAACCTTGGTGTTATCAGCACCACGCTCTAACCAACTGAGATATCCAGATGGGTCTTAAAAGGACATAACTGTGGCTGAACCTTCCCTCACTTCTGACTTTCTCTATAGCACAGCAACAACACTCTAATAGTGCACCAGTGATGTTCATATGGTGTTTAATTCTGTCCATGTAAAGCAATCTACTGGCAGGGGAGGGGGTTCAACATATGCAAGCTGGAATCCCCACAGCATGCATGAAAGGAGCATCTTCCCACAACTTACACATACATTTGGATGTTTTGGTCATTTGCTCCCTTTGAAGGAGCACTCACTTCACCATTCAAGTTATAGAGAACAGGAACTCCATGGCAGCAGGGAATTGCAATAGAATTTATTGCCAAAATATCTGAATATGCTTTGTTGCCATCTCCATTCCTTTATCCTCTACTCTATCAAGCAGATTAGTATGAAGCAAGGCTTTCCTCCCTACTTTATTAGCTCAGTCCCATGACCCCCATTCTTGCTAAAGCCAACAGGTTTCATAATGTACTTGCATGGAACTGAGGTTTACTATATTAATTTTAAAGTGATTAACACAATCATAAAGGGGGGGGGGAAATAGACCCAAACCCTTGGAACAAATCTTTGCCTGTACTTTCTGTAAAGATGGAAAAAGACTTTAAAGCTGAGATTTTCCATATAATGAATACCAGAAGAAGGATGCTATTTTAAGTCAAGAAAGCTATGGGTCTCTAAAAGAAAATAGCTCAGCATAGATGCAACTACTATAGAATGTAAAACACTGCCATCTAATGGCACAGTTTATCACTGCTCTCTTAAAATCAAGCAACCGAAGACCCATCCTGTGCTTATACAGTATACTCAGAAGTCTCACTTACTCCTGAAGAAACATGTCATTGGGTACACTAGCAGTGATGTGCTTATAGGATTGTAACCTCAATTTGTTTAGTGCTTAATGTACTAATTGTTCATATTAGAGACCCCTGCACCACATTAACTAAGTGCCATGCTTTCACCTCAAAGGCAGCGAGGAAAGTGTTCTCTGCCTCTTTCCATGGCAAGTCAAGTGAAAGTATTCTGAACTCTTCTTGAATCAGAGGCATGCCTCCTTCTTGCCCAATTAGGCAGATTCTTGTTGCCCTTACAACAATTCTCCATCAGCATAATTAACTTCCTTACCTGAGGAATCTGAGCCAGTCCTTTCCATTCCTACTGCACTGGGTCACTCAAAAACGACACAGAGTTTGGGCTCAAACATACGGGCCAAGAGATGGACTTTCAGTAGCAATGCCAGAAATTGATTTTCTTCTCCATCTTTGCAGAGCTCTTTATTTGGAAAAAAGAAATCCTCCTAAGTTTGGAGGACTCATCCTTGGCATGCTGCTTTTTATGAGGTTCCAAAGCTTTGGCAACTTAGGACAGAGCAGGGAGAAGGGTTGCAGTGTATTCATGCACCTAACGCTTCAAGCTTTTTAATGAATTACCTGTCATTAGCAGCTTGTGGAGCAGCAAGGAGTTAGACACACTGAGGACATCTTGTCAAAAGCCCCTCCGAAACATGGACATGCCCTTGTTCCGAGTATGTCCACTAAAGAAAAGGCAAGGCAAGCCAATTTACCTGAAGCATTTAAACTGGTCACAAGGAAAATGTTTTGAAAATAATCCAGCCATGACAGGAAAAGGATGGTCTCATCTGACTGTGAGTTTTCATGGATAGTTATAGAACCAGAGTACAGAAACCACTAAGAAATCCTACCTAAATTTCAAAAGATATTTTTCTGTATCACTTTCCCTCTTTAACACGGCAACACTCTTAATACTATGACTCTGTAACTTACATAATAACGCTCTCATGCAATAACTCCTTAATGAGTTAACTCCCCAACTTGCTCTGTAACACACTTTCTCCTTCTCTCTCTCTGTCTCTCTCTCCCCTCAAAGGCCTACTCCTACCAAAGGCCTCTGGTAAATCATCCAGCAGTGTCACAATGGAGGATATGTCACGGTTGCCTAGAAACCTTGCTCAACAATAAACCTTGCTCATCTTAATAGTAGTTGTTACAGGTTTCAAATAGATTAAGCAATTTAATTTTATTTGCTTATAACAATTCTAGACTACCTCTCATCTAATGGATTCCAGTGCAGTGTCCAGTCATAAAAATATAAGAAACACTTTATTTAAGGTAGATAAGGACAAGATGAAATTATACAATTTAATATAAATATAGATGGGAAACGACTATGTATTGTGAGTACTTATCCACTTTTAAAAATTTTCACCTGTGATCTTTTTCTTTTACTTCTTTATTTTTTCTTTGTTCTTTTTTCTTTTTTCTGATATCTTATCTTTCATTCCACTGCTTTATTGTGAATAGCATTTTATAGAGGTATAAATAACTGTAAATATGAAAAGAGACAAAATATTCTCTAATTTTTTTTCCCTTGGTTAGATGTATTTTCTTTTTCTTTTGTTGTGAATATGTATGTTTTCTAATTTGTACTTAAAAAAATATTTTTAAAAATTACATATATATATATATATATATATGTGAAAACAACATAATATCCTTTAAACAAAAATAAGATTGAGAGGCAGCAAAAGACCAAAACAAAACTGAAGTTGAACAGAGGTCACATAATCGCTGGGTAAATAAACATTTTGTAACCTGATGCCAGAAAAATTGTAATGCAATTGTAGCCAGCAAAACAGTTATGTATCCAATATGTGATTTACTGTGTGACCAACAACTTGGCTTGACTTTCAGTGTCAGTTAAATGTGTGGTTCTGAGAGTCATGCAGTTTTGAATTAGGAGAGAGCAGTGGGTTGGCTGAAACATCTCTGTGGAGCAGTAGCTCTCCTTGGGAATTCAATGCAAGTCTGGTGGCTATGGTGTCTGCTGTAGGAATGCCTAGGTGCTTCCATTAGGTACTGCTAGTATATTTGTAAATACTGTCACCTGTTACTTCCAAACTGGAGTTTAATACAGCAAATGGGTCATTCAAGTATCACAAATGGGTTTTTAGTAGCTGGGTTGCTGTCATTTTAAGTTACTCAATTTTTCATGGAAAGAGCAAATCTGGATTAAATTGGGCCAGGGGGAAGATAGGCAACATTATGAGGACACTGCATGCATGGGCAGAAATCCCACAACAAACACCTTTCTGGATGCACATAGGAACAGAAACACTAACTCTTTTTTTAATAAAGTGTGTATCTCTACCCCTCAATGATTCCTTTTGAATGCTATTTCCTTCACATCTCCTTTAGGGTCTCTGAAGTCCAATAGAAGAGGAGGCAGATGATAGCAGACCAGCACCAAAAACTAGATGTCACATGAGGGAACCAGGATTGGATCTCCTTAGAAGCTCCCTTCACCCCCTCCCTTTTAGTTTGCAGTGGTGGCACTGATGGAAGGGTGGCATTAGCTCTTTCCCTGATGTTGCTTCCTCAACGTGAATCACCCCACAACGCTTGCAGGGGTGCTAAACTGTGCCACAGGTCCAACTGAAAACTCCTTTGCAGGCTGCTTTTAAGGGAAGGAAGAGACAATATTGGGACGCTATATAATGACAGCAGATAACTCCCCTGAGATTGCCCACTGTTTACATAGTCTTAGGAAGAGAGGGAAAAGGTCTCTAACATTCTCTTAGGAAAAGGGAAATGTCCTCCCATGCTTTGGTACCAGACACCCTTAAGATCACTATGAATTATTTCCCCCCACTGCTAATGCATTGGAGGTGTTTCTTTCCCATAGTTCTGCAGAGACAGAGGATTCTGCCACCCAAAGGAATTTTCCAAAATGGGTTCCCCTAGCTCAATAAATGTTTAACACAAAGATTTTACAGAACATAAGCTGAATGTCTTTCCTCTCCTCTCCTCTACCTAACCTACTCATCCCTCCACAACTAGTGTGGTAGAGCCACATTCTTCTTCTCTAGCACTTGGGAGCAATGAATGAGAGCTTGAGTTATACATTTGTTCCCATTAAAGTTGTTGTGTGGAATATGGTTGCCTGAGTTGTATGGGTACCTGATGGATGTTGTTCTCTGCTGATAACAGCATACAAAATTTACAACATGTGCTGTTGTAATATGTGCTGTTTCAGGGGAGATGTTTTTATTTTATTTTAAGTGACTGCATAACATATCTTTAAAGTGATCAAGAGACTGGTGCAGAATATTTTTCATATAGTCAAAACATTTTAACAATCTATTCCCAGTTCGAATAATTAGTGCAATTTACCCTCTCCCTGATTTTGTTTGGGAGTACTTTGTTTATAGTTTGCGTCTCGGAAGAGATAATTAACGGCCTAACTCTGCCCTTGACAAACTCTTTATTCATTTGCTTCAGATCAGATGTTTTCTTTTCACTACTGAGTGAAAATACATAGAATCATAGAATCATAGAGTTGGAAGAGACCACAAGGGCCATCGAGTCCAATCCCCTGCCAAGCAGGAAACACCATCAGAGCACTCCTGACATATGGTTGTCAAGCCTCTGCTTAAAGACCTCCAAAGAAGGAGACTCCACCACACTCCTTGGCAGCAAATTCCACTGTCGAACAGCTCTTACTGTCAGGAAGTTCTTCCTAATGTTTAGGTGGAATCTTCTTTCTTGTAGTTTGGATCCATTGTTCCGTGTCCACTTCTCTGGAGCAGCAGAAAACAACCTTTCTCCCTCCTCTATGTGACATCCTTTTATATATTTGAACATGGCTATCATATCACCCCTTAACCTCCTCTTCTCCAGGCTAAACATGCCCAGCTCCCTTAGCCGTTCCTCATAAGGCATCGTTTCCAGGCCTTTGACCATTTTGGTTGCCCTCCTCTGGACACGTTCCAGTTTGTCAGTGTCCTTCTTGAACTGAGGTGCCCAGAACTGGACACAGTACTCCAGGTGAGGTCTGACCAGAGCAGAATACAGTGGCACTATTACTTCCCTTGATCTAGATGCTATACTCCTATTGATCGTAGGAGGTACATTGGCACCAGCTGCCGCGTCTGCTGTTCAAACTCATGTCAAGTTTGTGGTCAGCAGACTCCTAGATCCTTTTCACATGTACTGCTCTCCACCCACGTGTCACCCAACTTCTAGTAGTGCCTCTCATTTTTTAGCCCACGTGCACTACTGTACATTTCTCCTGTTAAAATTCAACTTGTGTGTTGTTGCCCAGTTCTCTAATCTGTCAAGGTCGTTTTGAAGTGTGATCCTGTCCTCTGGGGTGTTAGCCACCCCTCCCAGTTTGGTGTCATCTGCAAATTTGATCAGGATGCCCTTGAGTCCATCATCCAAGGGCATGAAATAGGGGTAGTCAACCTGGTGCCCTCCTGATGTTACTGGTCTACAAGTCTACAATTGTAGACCATTGACAATGATGACTGAGGCTGATGGGTGCTGGAGCCCAGCAACACCTGGAAGGTGTCACACTGGCTGCCCCATGGAGGTATGTTCATGTACTGTTGCCTCCAAACTAGATCATTATGCATCTTGACTAATAGAGAGCATCTTCATGACCCTCTCAATGTAAGATGTTCCTGTTTCAAGTTCCAGGTTACACTGTAGAGAACAATACTTCTCTGTCCCTGTACTTCTAGTGCAATCAGTTTTTTACATCAATGTTAGTCAACTAGTCTGGGTCCTTCACTCTGACATCTTGATCATTTAGCTCCTCTATGTGCCCTTAGTTGTCTTCCTTCTGTTCTTCTTGAGTGCACTTCTACTCACTTTTAAAACTAGACAGAATTCCAACCCTCATTGTCAAGTGGAATTTCATTTTCGGAGCCCAACTCGTATCTCAGCATATCTCTGTAAAAGGTAAAAAAATAAATAAATCTATGTATCAAATCTTTGGCAGTGGCATATTTTCATGATATGCCTGTGTATAGGTAGCTGCAATGAAAGCATTCCAGCTGGTACATAATATTGCACTGTAAAGGACACAGGTGAGATAACAGTAACTATACACAAACAGATTTGGATCTTTGACTATGTCACCCTTTTGCCAGTGGGAGTAGAATTTAGTATTGGGTTATGGGGTCACAGTGCTCAGAGTAGGAGACACCTAATCAATGTGCTGCAGCACTATTTTTCAACTTTTTACCCTCTGTTGAAAACAAAAGCCATTAATCAAGCACTGTCTAATAGTCTTTAACATGCTATAGCAGCTGGCCATGTAAGAATTATTCCTGCCACACACTTAAGTGACTGCCTCTTTTCTCATTCCAGCTGTAGAACAGTGGTGCAGAACCTGTGGCTCTCCATATATTGCTATATAACTCTCATTATCCCTCCTGATGTTATTGGTCTACAACTCCTATTATTGACCATGCTGCAGGAGCTGATGGGAGCTGGAGTCCAACAAAATCTGGACATCCACAGGTTCCCCATCCCTGCTGGTGCTTTTTCCAGAGCCTGTCAAGACTTTAAGCTGCTGGAGTCATTTGAACTATTTGCTAGATGACCTGAGACAGCAATAAGTCATTCAACCCAGGAAGAAAGACTTGGATTTTGTTCTGGCCTAGCTAATCTGCATGGGCATAGCCAGGATTTATGGGGGGGGCTTTATGTTATGGGGTGGAGAACTAAGTTATCTGCATTGCAATTGGTCAATTAGTTAAGTAATCTTATCTATTTACTTGATTTAGGGGAGCATTTCCCCCTGTCACACCCTCTGGCTACGCCCCTGCGAATCTGCATAGCACCTGGCAAACCAACACACCCACATGCAAGCTTGTCAATTGCACTGTAAAAAAATGGGTCAAACTACTGGTCTCATCTGTGATATTACACAATGTTTATACACACACATTCACAATGCACATGGGCATGGCACACTACAAATGCCACCATCAGCCCTGTGCTATTGCAGATCACAAATCTGCACTAAGTGCAAAAATATATTAGCTAGATTTATTTTTCTGTCCTTGCATCTCTAGCTTTGGCAATCAGGCAAGATAACATTCTGGGTAAGCCTGTAAAATTCTGTCGATAATGTCTATTTGCTTTGAAAATCAGTGAAAAGGTGTATTGAGAAGCAGTCTCATCATGATTTTGCACCTTTTATCCCATCTTAACTCCCAGGCAAGCAAAAGTAAATATTGCTTAACGATTAATTTGCTTCAACTTGTGGAGATAGCCAGTAGCTAATAAGGTTGTTGTTTTTTTAAGTGCTAGACAAATTGATAGCACACATGTCTATCAACAGACTATTTTGTAGGACAATAAAACCTTATCTATTAACTAAGGCCTTACTGGGCCTTTCATATGATGTAACAGTTTTTATTGTTCCTTAGATATGGCAAATATAAATGCTTATACTCCGATGGTCTTTAAAGCATTTTAATGGATTATCTTAATTATTTTAATAAAGAAATTAGGCTTTAACATATGGCACAATATTTTTTTTTGTCTTAAACATAAACTAAGCAAAATAATATAAACAATAGTTCATTTTAAAGCAAAATTAGCTATATCAGAAGAATCAAATAAAGTAAAATTAGCCAGGAAAAATCTTGAAGAATTCCAACAATATTTAGAATCAGCAATGTTAAAGGTGTACACAACAAAACATACTCCAATCAATACAATGCTTTTTCACAAGGATGGGAAGAGACACAGGGCTCATCAAAACCAGAGTTACCATATTGGATGAAATAAGTTTAATACTGCAACCAACTTCGTTTGTCTGCTGGTGGCAAGGCTTGCCTATGTTCTTTTCTACTGATGTAGTCTACAAAATTAAATCAAACTGCAAAACTTATCTTACTTGTTTTGACCTCATATAACCCTCAGTTTATACATCCATTTTAAAAATAAAGCTGTATCCCACACCATACAATAACAGTATTCTAGCAAGTGCTATTCTAGTAGAATACTATTCCTAGTAAATATTTCCCAAACCTTGCAATAGTAGGCCTTGCCACTATCAACATATGAACATTTCCTTATACTCTGATCCTTACAATCAATCAATCAATCAATCAATCAATAAAATTCATTGGGGCTAGATTTGGGGATTGCAAGATGTGCTGTTTGACTATTGCCTCAATTTCCTTGAGTATTCAACACTTAACTATTGCAGCCCCACTTGTGCATGCTACTTGGCAGCTTCCCCCAGCACAGCAGGAAGAACCCCATGGGTTATATAAGACAATGTGAGTGGCATCAAGTACCACCTGTGTGGTAATTTCAGCAAGATTTCTCTATATTGTACTGTACTAAAAGTGAGTGGAAAGAGGACTTATCCCACAGTGAACTCTAATCATTTTTCCAACTTTTGTTCCCATAGAAGCTTAAGGCATCAAACATGTCCAAAATATGCTTCCATAAGAATTTTATAAATACTAAACACTGTGCTTTTAGTGGTCTTAGAAGTCATTAATATAGAATGTTCAAAACTCAACAGTTTTACGGGTCACACTGCCCTTGATCCCTGGATTAGCTAAAAAGGCCAAGTAGGCCCTACACAAGCAACCATGGAAGGGGGATATCTTCAAACTTTTCCCTTAGGCTACTTTCTGTTATTAGAGTTTTGTCATAGATGTCAACCTTCCCTTTTTTTGCAGGAAATTCCCTTATTCCAGCACCATTTCCCGCTGCTTCCCACTGTTAGATATCCCGTAGACTGTCCCCAGGACAGGTGAGGCTGCTGATCCCTTATTTTCGAGGCTCCCCAGGACAGGTGAGGCTGCTGATCCCTTATTTTCAAATCTGAAAGTTGAAAGCTATGAGTTTTGGTCACATAAAAATCAAAGAGATGGAAGAGCCTCTTAAAGCTCCTTTGGGCCACATGTACTATGTTTATTAAAGATTGTTCTAAGTTGTTGGACGCAGCCATGGTAACTTTAGGAGGCATATAGAAATTATTTTAATCAATTTGCCATATCAGATATGATAAGCCGCATGGAGCCTTCATGATTACAGGCAGTGTAATCTGATAGCTGGATACTTGAGGACAAACAAGGCAGCATCCTTATTGCACAGATCGCATTTTCACAGCATCTGCCTGGCTGGTCGACCTTTGGGAGACGAAGTGCTGTGTTAAGAGGATCACAGTCTGCGAAATGGTTCGCTTCATGATGATGGATTCGAGAACTTGATTTGCTGATTGTGAGGAAGCAGGAGGAGATCCTGACAGTTACTGGAAGGGGGGGGGGGCAGGGGCAAGAAATGCACCATTAGCGTTAACGCAGCGCGCGAGACGACCGTCCGCCCCACGAGCTCTGACTGCCTGACGAGATTCGCGTCAGGGTAAATCAAACGGCAGGCAAGCGAAATGTTAAAACGGGAAACGGCGGCTGCTCCGAGCGGTGATGACAGGTAACACCGCGGCTTACAGATAACAGCGCCTGAAAGGAAACCTGAGACCGGTTGCGTCTCTGTCCCCCTCCGAAACCCCGCCCCCAACTGACTATATAACGAATAGCCCCGCCCGACTAACGTCAGTTCGCCCTCTTTCCCTCATTGGCTGGTACGCGTGCGTCCTACTCGCCTGGTTGGGGAGAGGAGGAGCCGTCTCTCTCGCGCGCGCTGTTTCGCTGAAGGTGGCGCGTGCGCGCGCACGTGTCCCGTCGGGCTGGGGAGGCTGGCTGGAGGTGGGGCCTCGTGCTCAAGCACGCGCCGAGTAGCCGTTGGTCGGCCGTCCGGCCTGTGAGGGGGGAAAAAGAGGCGGTTGCTGCCCGTTGGCGCCTCGCGCGGGTACCTCCCCCTCTCGCGCTCCCCTCGCAGCTGAGGAGGCCATGAGAAGGCGGCTTCGGAAGGGGGCGGTGATGGCCGTTGCTGCTGCCGCCGCCGCCGCCCGGCAACTGCCTCCGTCTCCTTTCCTCCCGTCGGCCCCAAACCGCGGGGCTCTCCGCACCTGCCAGCCCTGAGGGAGGCCTCGGCGCGCGTCCCGCCGCTGGAGAAGCGGAGAGCGAGGGCCGCCGCCGCCTCCTGGCTCGTCCCTCTGCCGTCCTCGATGTCTCCCCCGCCGCGGGGAGCCCACCCCATCCGCGCCCCTTCGGCCCGCAGCGTCCACTCGGGAGCCCGGCCTCGCCTTCTCCGAGACTGGTGGCGGAGCCAGCCGCGACTGGCCGGGAGGCGGCCCAGCGACGACGGAGCCGGCCAGGCCGCCGCCTCCTCCACCAGCGCGGCGGGGATGAAGGCGGAGGCGGGGGACAGCAGCATGATCAACCTGTCGGTCCAGCAGGTGCTGAGTCTGTGGGCGCACGGCACCTCGCTCCGGCACCTCACCGGTAACGGCCGGGCGCAGGGCGGGCGGGGGAGGCGTTCGGAGGCTGGGGCGGGCGAGGTTTGAAAAGCGGCCTGTGTTCTGTGTCGGAGGGAGAGGAGACGTTCCAGGCACTCCCATCCCAGGTGTCGCACACACTCGAGCAGGGCAGAGAAAATAGTACCCGGGAACGTGTGGATGTAAAAGTGGCTTCTGGTTCAAAAGGGCAGGTGAAAACGTGCGTGGCATCCTAAATGGAGAGTAAGGGATGGCATTAGGTTGGAGCTTAATACGCAGGCTGGAGGTCAGAGTAGCTGCAGTTTCTGACTTAGATCTATGAGGTGCTCCGATAACCCAAGGGACTTGACTGTGCACCTGTCTTCCTATGTTCCTTGCTGGGATGTCCCTGGGCCTTTTTGAAAAAATGCTGCTGTTCAGATCTGTGGCATCTGATCCGGGTATTTCCTGCAGGACCACGTACCAAACAGGTACAGGGCTTATGCTGTCTGATCAACTAAATGTTGCCTCAATTTAAAAACTTTTGGGGCACTTAAAAATGTATTTCCTTTCTCTCCCCCCCCCATTAGTGAAGCAACAGACTTTGTAAAAATATACATTATTTTTAATACAAGCACTTAAACTCTAGTTGACAAGCATAGCTTTCGAAGATGTGTACACCCTGTTTTGTTACACAGCAAGTGAAAGCCTGTTTTAAGATTCCAGTGCATATACAGTGGTGCCTCGCAAGACGAAATTAATTCGTTCCGCGAGTTTTTTCGTCTTGCGTTCTTTTTCGTCTTGCGAAGCACGGTGTCGGAAAAGCTTTGGAAAAGCTTCAAAAATCACCAAAGTCCTCAAAAACCTCAAAAAAGGCTACCACACCGCGTGCTATGAGTTGCTCCTCGAAGTCAAGTTGCAACTGTATTAACGGTTTTAAGGAAAAGGAAACAAACTTGCAAGACGTTTCCGTCTTGCGAAGCAAGTCCATAGGGAAAATCGTCTTGCGAAGCAACTCAAAAAACCAAAAACCCTTTCGTTTTGCGAGTTTTCCGTCTTGCGAGGTACCACTGTATGTGTCATCAAAAATATTAATATATATTTCTTCACAACTATTGTTTAATTCATACTAAAATGTATGCTGATTTAATCATTAAATGCTTAATGTCAATTTGGTGACATTCCTCTTGCTATGCTTCTTCATCTAGAAAAGCTACATTTTTTGCTCCTATTTCATGCCCTCCAAGTACCCAGACTGCTAATGTGTTCAGTTAAAATTATGAAGTTATAAGAGCATGAACATTTGCTCTTTATCTTGTAAAGAAACACTGCCTTGCACAGTAACTACCAAGCCTTGCTTGGTAGTTGACTTTTCTGTTGACTCAGAAGTAAATCCTATTTTGTTAAATGGGACTGACTTCAAAAGAAGTGTTTCACAGTTGTAGGCTAAGAATTGCATTCACTGCTACACAAGCAGAACAAACTCTAACCTGCATGGTGGGGCTTCCTCTTCTGTCCTACAGCTCCCAGTGCACCCTCAAAATCTGTTCCAGATTTAAGGAGTGGGGAAAGCATAGGAGATTCTGTGTGAGCAGAAGTCAGCTTGTACAGAGTTGGCTATAATCCCAAAACTGTAAACCTAAGTGATTTTACCTAGTGTCTTTGCACATTCATAGAGCGAACCATATAAACAATTTTCTCTTCTAAATTCTGCAGTGTAAAAGGCTATGTGGATGGCATGGTCGAAGGTGTACAGAATGGGAACCCTTTAGAGTTGTAGATTGATGGATGCAGTGCATAATTACATGAAATTCACTGCCATAAGATGTGTTGATGGCCAGTGGCCAAAGGGATTAGGCAGATTTCTGGAGGATAGGTCCATCAACAATGAGCAATGATATTTAAATGTGGAACCTCAGGGTTCAGAGGCAGGATGCCTCCGACTGCCACAAACAGTGAAGAAGAGCTTGTGGCCCTCATTCCCTCTTTGTAGGCTTTTTGAAAGCATCTGATTGGGATGCTCACAGTAATGTGATTCATGGTCTTATCCAGCAGGGCTATTCTTACATTCTCAGATTGAGCTCCCCATCTGTAATCATACCAGTCTTTCTGGTAGTGCAGTTAGGATGATTACTGATCTAATTTATGTGAAGCTCTTTGAGCACTTAGTAAAAGTGCTGTATAAGTTTTATGCATCTAGCTATTCAGCACTCCATCGGACACAGATATTTATTTGCCTGCATAATAAATCATATCTGAAGCATTTTTCTTAGTAAAAAGAAGATTCACTTATGGAAACTAGCAAACATAAGTATTGGATACCTGATTCTAGTACTGTTTCACAGAATACAGTGGCCCTGATCAAAAAACAATGGATTAGATGTGGTGTTCAGGTGAAAGTGTGTATACAACCAAAATGTGTCATTTTTTTTACTGGTACAGTACACTACTTACTACAACATCAGGCAGTGCATAGTCTTTGGAACTCCCTGTTCATTTATATTAGGCATTTCACTATTGTTTTTGGTGCCTGCTGAAAACTTTTTGCTTCAGCAAACCTACCCAAACATGTAATTTTATTATGTATATTATTTTAAAATTACTGGTTTGATTAATATTTTTAAACATATGTTAACTTTTTTTTTTTTTTGCCTTTATCATTTTTTAATGAAGGTTTTGGGTTTTTTTCTTTAAACTACTTAGAAGTCTTCTATCTAGGAAGCAATGTATACACTTTGTTAAATAAAATAACATTATATTGTCTGTTCATAAATGGTACACAACATACTTACTTCAATTTTAATTTATTTTGATGAATTGTCCTGTTTTCCTACCTTGGCACACAAACTGAGCTTTCCACTACAGTTCTAATATCTATTTTGTGTGGCTATAGCCAATTTAGATTCCATTAGCATATATATGAACTTCACATGTTCTTAGCCCTAGTACATACTTGCATCCTGACTCTCATTTTCCATTCCATTTGATATGTGGATGCTAGTTCACAAAATCTTGTTATAATTTTTTTAGCTTTAAGATGCCAAAAGGCTCTTTGTTGCTGTCAACATGCAAATACTCTATTAGAAATTGTCTTCTATTTTCTTGCCCAATCAACTAGTCTGGACATATGAAGACTGGCAGTGCATGCTGCAGCCACAGCAGCCTGCAACATGGTCAGGATTATAAAGGATTCAGTGGGTACCATTTAATTTCTAAATTAAAACCTCATGATTCACCATTACTTACTTATTGCATTTGTATCCCAGCATTTTTCTCAAGAAGTTCAAGGTGGTGTACATGATTCTCCTCTTCATCATTTAATTCCCCCAACAACCCTATGGGGTAGGTTAGCTGAGAGGCAGTGACTGGCCCAAGGTCACCCAGTGAGTTTCATGGCTGATTGCATATTTGAATCCTGGACTCACCGGCCCTAGTCCAAAACTCTGACCACTATATCACACTGGGTCTCGGGACCTGAGGATTTCAGCTTCTATGGCTCCAGCTCACAAAGGTGAACACTTGTTAACAGTTTTGATATACAGTACTTCTAGCTAACCCTCCATGGTTCTCTCTTGGAAATAATTGCAAAATTTTAGTGCTAGTTTACATTTTATCTGTTAGTTAATTGTATCCTAAACAACTAAAAGAGGGGGGTGGGGAACCAAATTTTCGGAAAGTTTCCCTGCCTGATTGCCAAGGAAGCATTCAGCAAATATGTTGTTTTTGTTTGGTGTGTTTTACATTATTTATTTTTTAAGGTTCTTTGAATGAAGAGATATGAGGGATATATTTAGACTACTTTTAAATAAACCAGACATAGTATAAACTATTATTATTATTTGTAGACCACCCTTCATCTACAGACCTCAGGGCAGTTCATAATGGAATAGAAATCGATACATGCAGTATAATATAATACTTAAATTTGAGAGCTATCTGTGTGATCTGAAGTAAGTTTTGTTAAAGCAGCCTTTGGCTAACTTAAGTCTCTGTGTGATGCAATACATAGTTTTATGAATTGTTTCCTTTGGTGAAAGATTTCTGCCTTTTATACAGCTAATTCTGTCTCCTTTTGAGAGCATGCACTGCTTCAGAATCAGTTCTCCCTCAATTAGCTAGTTTCTGCTTTCATGGTTTCACAACTTTGACACTTTTTCTCAGTGCTAGTTGTATTTAACACTAAAGGACAAAATCTATTTTTATCCAGCATGTGTACAATATGTCCTAGAAAGATAAATTTGGTTATTTAGGACATTCAGTGATAAAAACTATTGTTGGAATTTCCTCACAATTTCAAGTTGGTCTGAATAGCTGCTATGTAGCATTCATTCATTCTTCAGGGTTTGAATATTGTTTCCACTTTGATAACAATTGGAAGCAATGTATTCATAACTTAAATATTCTTGGCAACATCAGGAAAAAAGCCCTTAGTTTGGCAACTTGCTACTTTTAGAGATGCTGACATGTTTAAAGGTGAACGACCAGTAAAATTTCAGAATTTCAGAATTTACTTATTGCTCCCTCCAAGGTAATTTGTTTTGGCTAGCTGTCAGAAATTGTTTATAAGTATAACATAGATTAAAAAATTGGAGCGTTTAATATTTGCTCAAAATAGTTTGTTAATAGGGGGGCCTTAAGTGTTCAGAGAAATGGGCAGTGGACAGCATTATAGAAAGTAGAATAAAGTTATTAAATAAGTATTCTGTCTGCATGCTTTTGTATCTCTTTATAATTCCTCAAAATATGCAAGGATTTTTTTCTCTTTGATTTAATCATTTTTTCTCAAATGTTAACCCGCTCTTTGATTGCTTTCTTCCAGAAATGTGGTACTGGGTTTTCCTCTGGGCTCTCTTCTCCTCTCTCTTTGTTCACGGTGCTGCAGGAGTTTTAATGTTTGTGATGCTGCAGAGGCATAGACAAGGGAGAGTAATCTCTATCATTGCAGTCAGCATTGGATTTCTGGGTTCTGTAACTGGAGCTATGATAACCAGTAAGTCTTAAAATGTTCAAATACTTCTTTTTGAAGATTATTTTTTAGCTATTGTAGTAAATGATTTTTGGTTCATTACACTGGAGTTCTGTGAGGCTTACAGCTGTTGGGGTTGTTCAGTGGCTGAGGGAAGGGCCATATAAAACTGGCAGCCATGATTTTTCATATGTCTCAGTTTTAGGAGGAAGAGAAGCAGGGTGCTACCACAGAGCCAGCCTCCCAGTAGTAGTGTCACTTCTTCTTCCCAGGATGGGGCAGGGTGATATTCTAAAACAAGCTTTTTAAATCTGCAGCACTTAACTCCTCTGTCAGATGTTGTTTGGAGCTTGTTAACAGATAGCTGTGGAAACTTAAGTCCGGGTTAGCACATAATGCTAATCTGTGGTTTATGAAATTGTGATTTATTTTTATCATGTTTTGTTTGATTCTTTGAACCCTGAATTTAGGAGGTTAACTATAGTTTGTTATTGCCAACTAATTCTGTTCTAAGGCATGGCTTAAGTTCACTTACAATCTTTTGTTTGTCTTAACTATGGCTTGGTGTTACCTAAATCCTTCTCAACCTATGATTTGATTGGCCACCCAGCTCAGACTCCCATTAAGTTACAAAAGGCTTGAGACAAGAGCCTCTGGAAAACAACAAAGCTTTCACAAATCAAATCATGGTTTGTTTGGTCATCTGCAGATCGATTTGTTTTTGTTTTTGTTTTTTTAAATAATTTTTATTATGGTTATCTGCAGATCAATTTGTTGTTGGCTCCTGGTTTGTTAAACAAAGCATGGTCTAACATTATGTGAGTGCTTAATGTCTGACAGAATTAAAGATCTAAAATTTCCAGAAATGTTGAAACCTTGAGAAAAAGGCATACATTTGAAGGGGGGAGGAATGTTGGATAAAATTGGAATATATTATCAAACAAAGTTAATTTACTTTTTAAACAATATAAAATGCATCATTTTTAACTTAGTTACCGTTGTAAAACTTGGCATATTTATGGCAGTTGCAGAGCATGTTTACGTTTACCGGACTTTACTCCCTGGTAAGCAAACAATGGGGACGCGGGTGGCGCTGTGGGTAAAACCTCAGTGCCTAGGACTTGCCGATCGTATGGTCGGCGGTTCGAATCCCCGTGGCGGGGTGAGCTCCCGTCTTTCGGTCCCAGCTCCTGCCCACCTAGCAGTTCGAAAGCACCCCTAAGTGCAAGTAGATAACTAGGTACCGCTTTATAGCGGGAAGGTAAACGGCGTTTCCGTGTGCTGCGCTGGTGCTGGCTCATCAGAGCAGCTTGGTCACGCTGGCCATGTGACCCGGAAGTGTCTCCGGACAGCGCTGGCCCCCGGCCTCTTAAGTGAGATGGGCGCACAACCCTAGAGTCAGAAACGACTGGCCCGTACGGGCAGGGGTACCTTTACCTTTACCTTTAAGCACACAAAGAATTAGACTAGAAAGTATAAAGGCATTCCATTTTTACAAATAAAACATAAAATTTACCCAATATTAGAGCTGCACCTTATACTAAGCAAATATATAATAGTGTGGTTTTTTCCCCTGTTTGGGAAGGGTGCAGGGAGTTGAAAACAGAAACACTGTTTGGTTTGCTAAAACAATTGTGTGTCATTTGGACAGAAACTTCCATTTAGTCTCAATATTAAAGGATAGCAGCGTATTTAAATACAAAGCGTAACTTTATACAACACTGAAAATACTGAACCCTAGGTGCAGAAACACATCTTGGATTTGAATGTGGTATATGACTACAGTATACACAAATTAGCATTCTTTAATGCCTTGCATAAAAATTTTCATGCATGTGTTGAGTGAAAAACACCCTTGTCATTTCACTTACTATAAAATTAAAATATATTCTGTAGTTTTCCCCTCTGGTGTTGCCCCACCAAATGTTATTCTTCCTTTTTGCCCCTTCAAACCCAAAGTGTCATCTGGAAGAAAAAACAGGAGAAAAAAATATATAATTTCCTGGGGTTCCCCCCCCCCATGGCATTCCCATCTCTAGTTAGAATAAATTTTGAGGAGGATGTGATCAACGGCTACTAACCATGATGGCTGTGTTTTACCTCCACTGCAAGGGGATTAATGTCTGTTTCTGGTGGTTCAGGGTATATATAAATTTATTCAGGTAGGTAGCTGTGTTGGTCTGATGCAGTCAAAATAATAAAAAAATTGTCCAGTAGCACCTTAGAGACCAACTAAGTTTGTTCTGGGTATAAGTTTTCGTGTGCATGCATCCGAAGAAGTGTGCATGCACACGCAAACTTATACCCAGAGCAAACTTAGTTGGTTTCTAAGGTGCTACTGGACGATTTTTTAATACATTTATTGATACTGCACCCTCAATGTTCATTGTAGAAGTGGGTTCTCTCTTAGGAAAGTTCAAGGAGAAGAACAAAGTCCAACACATTATTGACTTAACTTAAAGCTTCACAGTGTGTCAGCCTTGCAAATACTAGCATTTGGATAGGACATGTAAACTACTGGTTTATTTGATTATTATTTATCTGTGACATTTATATAGCCCCCCGGTCAGGCTTACAACAAAATATTGGACACAATCTAGCTAAAGATAAGCGCTTTCAAGACCCATTAATTTGAATGTGAGAGTTAAACATACTTATCTCCCATTCAGTTCAATGGGACTTACAAGTCCTTAATATTAGCGGGATCAGGCCGAATGTAATTAAAAAGTAACATTTGAAAATTTTGGTCCTAAAATGTCTTAAAATAAAAACCTTTTACTATTTTTTTGTGGTAACTTCATATTTCTCCCCTTCCTTGTGATTCTCTAGGTGCAGCAGTAGCTGGAATTTTCAGAGTTGCTGGAAAAAGCATGGCTCCTTTACAAGCACTGGTGTTTGGAATTGGCCAGACTGTACTGACACTAATTATATCCTTCTCGAGAATTCTTGCTACACTTTGAAATTTCTGTGAAAACTTGATTTCTAAAAGGAAATGGTCTGCAGTGAAGCTTCCCAGAAGTTGTTCCAGTAGCTGCTGGATTTGAATTGCAAGGAGAAATATTTGGTATGTAGACTTCAAACCTAGAGGTTCCGCCCTTTTAGAAAGGAGTTTCCTCTAGAGTCCAAAAATGACACACTACTGCACTGCACCTAATGTGCCTCTGTCACAGGCAAGGTGTGATCAATTTAGGAGAAGCTGCAAGATAAAGCACCTTGTGAAGCTGCTAATCGGGCAAATGGTGATGTGATCATTGTTCGTAACAGTATTGGGGGAAATACACGGGCATTTCTGAAGAATGGATCATAAATGTGCCAAATGCAAAGTTGATTTGTTTTTGTTTTTTAAAAAATATTGATAGTGTGACCATTTAAATGTGTAGTATTTGAGTGCAGCAAACATAGTTCAAAAAAATTTCAGGTATACCAACAAGGCACTTGTTTATTATTGTAATAACTAACTCCATCTCAGTGCAGAAATTTATCAAGCCTGTGGAGAAGCTGCTTGAGTATTGAATTTATTAGCATTGCCGGGATTTAGTGACTGAAACAACAGTCTGGTAAGGACATGAATGTGATTGATCCAATATAGGAGCTCCTTATGAAAGGATTTAATTAGGATATGTCACATTCACTAAAAGCAGCCTTTCAGTAACATTATGTTATGCTTTTGCTATTTTATCAAGTTATGGTATGTCCCAAATTCATGGTTATGGATTGGAACAAAGGCTGTATGGGTCAGATGTCTAAAAAAGGTTACAAAAGGAATCCTACATTATTCCGAAAATATATTTGCTTTGACCTTGATTGTTGAAACATTCAGTAACGCTATTTTAAGACCAGGAAGAGCCACAAGTCTTGAAAAGTATGTGTTTACAGTATGGTCTAATCTAAAGTAAGTCAAAGATAGATGGGGAAATAAAAATGCAGTTTTTCTATGTGATTATGCCAGGATTCTGAACAAATGTTTATTCTAGTAGATTATCAGTATCAAAAGGGAGAGAATTAAAAATCTTCCTATTTCCCACCTTGAGATAATTTGGGGATGATTATATGTGACTTTCATATGCTTAGCTTCCAGTAGACCTGTTCTGTGTGTGTTGTTTTAGCAAGAGCAGCAGCGGTGGTGTGACTGTAATGTCTTTACTGTAACATGTTATAAAGTGAATAGAGAGAAACTACAAGGCACTATCTAAATGTAAGTATTGAGAAGGAGTGAATTAATTGTATCCTTGGGCTGATTCACACACTGTCCTTTCAGTGAGTATGCACATGTAATCAGCATGCACAAACATGCCTGTATTAGGAGCTGAAAGAAGGGAGCAGGCTCCCTACTTCCGGAAACCAGTGCAGGTGGCAGTGGCTGGAGAACCCAATTCTGCATTTACCAGAAATTGCTAGATGTTGTCGCTGCTCAACCACTGCACCTTTTTCAACAGCACCTCGGTCACTCTGCTGGTGGTGCTCTTCTCTAAGTAGAGTGGCAGTAGCCAAGAATCCCTTTGCTGGGAACTTGGGAAAAACAAGGCATATGCAGTAAGAGAGGACTACTTTAGCTGACATTGCCTTTTCTACTACTTTTGGCTGCTCTAATACAGGTGGTAGTAGGGCTTGATTCTATGTATTCCTTCACTCAGAGTGCAATGTGTGAATTAGCCCTTAGTTTTCTGTTCAAAATTGGCAGTCTGTACATGTCTCTACCTTCCTTCTGGGTGTATGACCACAGGTTGTCATGACAGCAGAAGTTAATGCCTACAGAAATCATAACTGCAGCAATAACACTTTGACAGCACAGTGCTTTGTTCCACAATCTTTCTAAATATTGTGGCAAAATCACAATTTGTAGTTGTATATACTAATAAATTATCACTAGAGGCTATTTTGCCTACTTTGGTCTAGAGATAACACTTAAGACATTCATTATTATTATGTCTTCATTCTTATAGTTGTAGTGATAGGCTGCTATCCTACAAGGACCTATGTATAACTGGAGCTTCTTCACGGTTGTGTTATTGCAGACTTTTGTTTGCCATACCAAAAGATGGAAGCTTTGTGCTCACCCAAGACTCTAAATCAAAGTCATAGGGGAAAGGAAATAGCATTAATACTAGGAGGTATTTAAAGAAACATTGATATATTTTGTTCTTTGTTTCAGGTAATTTAATTTAAATGCCAAGGCACATTCTAAACCTACACTAGTATAAAATGCTATTTTAATTTATAGTGCCTTGAGTATATGTTAGAAGGGATTTTCTAGTCCATTGTCAACTTACTCCTGTTTTGTCTCTGCCATTAGCTTGCATTTGATGATAGCTTGTGGTGGTGTGGTGTTAAAATGAATAATAGGAAAAAACTTGGAGAAATCACTAGTGCTACCTGCCCCAGTTCAAGTCAATGCAGAAAAGTTTTTGTTTTTTAATTATAATTTTTATTGACTTAAATATTAAGCACTGTATCTTCAAGCCTTTGGAGTTATAAAACTCCATATTGGTTTCATAATTTATTGAGCATCAGAACATGCTGTATGTGATACTGTTGTGAATGTTGTATGTGAAGTTGTCTGATGTCTAGTGTTATGTGTAGTGGTGTAATGAAGCTGCAAAGCAAACACTTCTCAGGCCCCAGTACTGAAGTAGTTATGAAGACTATATATGTAAATTTCTAAGTCGATTGACTTTAGGGCTATATGAAGAAATGTATTTCTGTACTGGAGGCTCAGATGCTTCTTATGTTGTTTGTGGTTGCCTCATTCTGCCTCATTTTCATGAGAAACAAATCCCATCAGTATTAAGGTTAGGTTAGGAATAACTTAAAGGCTAGATATGCACTTTGTTAAATATTGCAACACGTTCATTGGGCAGCAACAATACAGCAGGTTCTGAGTGGCCATCTAGAAAGGGTCTGCCCAGAACCGCTTTGTAACAGGAAGCAATCTTGGATCATGACTCGTTGAACTCAGCTAATGAGTTGTGTTTTACGGTAGATCAATGTATAAAATGACTCTTTTTCTATCAAAAATGGTAAATAAAATCTTCTCTTTCAGTCTCTGTTTGGTAATGAATACTAAAAGGATGTGCTTTAGCCAAGGATAAGTATGGCACTATGCCTTTGAATAGAATACATAACATTTGTATTTTGAAGCGATTGCAGAGTTAGTTGTTTATTGCATTTTAAAACCAATTTATATTTAAAAAAAAACAAAGAAATAACAAATGAAAGTTTCTGATAGCAATATTCTGTATTCGGTTTTGAAAGTAATGTGTAAGGAGTAATGTTACTAGGGCATTTTTTTCATATGCTAAAAAGGGTGGGTTTCTTCTTTCATGCAAGTTTAGAGTGGTGTGCTTTACTTAAGGGTGAAATGCCCTTTGTATGAATAGAATTAAAATAATACCTTCAGCTGCTACAGGAAATGAAGGAAATCTGCACCAATATTCAAAAATTTATCTGAGGAAGTGATTGAACATTCTACTTAGAAGCATTCTAAAAAGAATCCAATGTAAAGCTTATGCAATACCAGTATTTGACCATGAACTGAATTACTGTTTGAGAGCAGTTGAAAATTTCGTTGTTGTTTTTTTAATTCCAGATAATCTGCAGGTTTTTTATTTTTAAGGCAGCTTAAGTTTCATGAACTGATCTCTTAACATATTTAGCAATGACATTTTAGAAAACTTTTCATTATTCAAAACCACAGGTAACATTACGTTGGCTTAATTTATGAACATATGGACCAAAGAGGTGGTTAAGTATTCATTGTATTTATCTGTAATATAGCATTTTAAATATATTTTTCTTGATTAAATCTGAGGAAAGCAGTAGTGTTTCCTCTTCAGTTTTGCACTTTGCTATATTTTGTTTCAGTATGATAAACTTATTTTTACTTGAAGCTTGCATATTTTTGTTGTATTGTAGAATAACCAAGCAATCAGCTCTCGGTATAATTAAACGGATTTTTAAAATTAGTTATGTTTGAAGTTTATTATCCATTTGCATGGATAAGTCAATTTTCTTAAGCCTCCCCCCCCCCAAATACGTTTAAGCCTAATATTTTAAGGCATTGTTTTTAAGCATTTTATCCAAATTCTTGCATAATTGCACACAATGGGTTACATCCAGACTTAGTCATGCTTAGAGTAGACACATTGATTTCAACCCTATAGCAAATAAGAGAAATATGGATCCAGAACCAACAAGCACATACAACTTCTTCTCCTCAAAAATATGATGCTACTTCAGGCCTCATGTTTACTCCTACTGTGGGTAGTTGAGAGATTTTGAAGCCTCAATGCTATATGGTTCTTTCCTTATGAGCTTGACTAGATTGCAGCCTTAAAACTGCATGTTCTGTACTTGTGCTCCCGATCAAACATGAGACACAAACTGGTTCTGAAAAAAATGCTTCGTAGAACTCCAGGTTTTCCAAACTAGCACTCAATTGTGACTGAAGGTGCAGAGACAATGAATAGGGGCCACAATATTGGGAAAAAATGGCTTTTTGTATGGCTCCTGAGGCAAGTGCATTCCTCTTCCATTCAGATTAATGAAGGTGAACAAGTGAAGAGGTAACAAGCAAAAAATATGTGAAATAGTTAATTTTCTGTCTACTACAAAAGCTGGCGATATAAGAATGTGGGGCAAGCTGGAGAAAGCTCCCAACATATAACAAACTGCAGGTTTTCTTCCTTATTCTATGCAAATCAGATTGGTACATTTACTTCAAAGATTTGTAATAGAAAAGTGTCCGGACACATTTGAGAAACCACCACATAACCCTTATTTTAAGTTAATATAAAATTATTGAAGTTTGAAATGGGGACATTACCTGTCTGAGGCCAACTCTTTTATTTTGAGTTTTTGCTAAGATGTTTCTAAAGTGATCATTGGCAACGCTGAAGGCATTCTGGATCATATGTCTGGCAATTGCTACTAAATGTTTTCATATACGGCTTTCTTCTGTAGTTTGTGCCCTTTCGTTTACAAGAGCATGAATCTGCCACTTTGCTCCATGATGCTTATGAACAATTCTCTTCTCAGACCCTTAAATTTGCCTAATAGGGGGAGAAGTGCTTGTCTTGGAGAGAAAGGAATGAAAACCTTGTAGCTTTCTCTGAGAGGTTCTAAATGATCCCAGAAATTGTTGGTCAGGTGCATCATAGACACCTGTTCAATTCCATACGGCACTGAAAATTATAGGCTAATCATATAGCCTCTGCACATGAAATGACATTCTGGTTATAAGCTGCTTTAAAATCCTCCCTGCTCTGTATGTGCTTGCTCAACACAATGATCAAGTGATTTTCCCCCACACACAACTGCAATAAATGTTTGCAGTGTGAGGAGAAAATACCATTCTGTGCATTATAAGCTGCTGAGTTAGTGATTCAGTCATGGAGGAAAAACGTTTGTTCATATAAAATTTCTGTATTTCCCTTATCTGAAAATCACAGGGCAGTTTACAATATAAAAACACAAAAAGTATTGTAACAAACAAAAACAGTAACCCCACTCCCCCAAAGTTTTAAAGGCCATAGATTGTTTAGTTAGCCAAAGGCCTGGGAGAAGAGGAATGTTTTTGCTTGGTGCCTAAAGATATGTAACGAAGGTACCAGGTGAGCCAGGCGTCGGCAAATTTATTTAGCCGCGGGCCAGTCCACTGTCCCTCAGACCTTGTGGCAGGCCAGAGAAGCGGCATGGGGGGAGCTGGAAAAAGAGGCGAGGGGGGCAAGTAGTCCTCCTCCCCAGCCACTGCGCTTACCTTCCCAGACCCGTGATCTGAGCACCCCTGGCCCTTTCCCCCTCTCCCAGGAAGGGGAAGCAGGAGCCCTTCCCCGGCGCTTTGGCCTCGATGACTCTCACCGGGCGCTGCCTCTGACAGCAGGCTGTGCTCAGGTCCACTGGGAGCTGGCCCTCCAGTCCGGGACGCCAAGCTGCCCTCCAGTTTCACCTCTTCACTGTGCCCCCAGCCCATCCCGCAGGGCTGGAGCTCACCGGGTGGTGCGCTTGTAGTGCGGCGGCGGCTCCTTGCGTTCTTTCCCCAGAGCTCCCACAGGCAGGGTGGTGGCCATAGCCTGGTAGCCCTCGGCGGGCCACAGGGCAAGTCCATAGCTGTTGGGGGGGGATGTGCAGGGGAAAATGGTGGTGCATAAAAATGAACAGAATCCCCACGGCCCACGCTGATCCACAGACCGTCTGTGGGCCAGATCCTGAAGGCAATTGGGCCGGATCCAGCCTGTGGACCTTAGTTTGCAAACCCCTGAGGTAAGCCTCCCAGGGAACAGCATTCCACAAGTGGGGAGCCACTGCAGAAAAGGCCCATTCTTGAATTGCTACCCTCTAGACCTCTCATGAATGAGGCACACAAGGAAGGGCCTTGGATGATAATCGCAGGGTTGGGGTTGGTTCATAAGAGGAGAGGTGATCCTTGAGATATTGTGGTCCTGAGCTTTATAGGTCAAAACCAGCATTTTGAATTGGGCTAGGAAACTAATTGGCAGCCAGTGTAGTTGGGCCAGGATTGGCGGTATATGCTCAAATCATGTTGCCATAGTGAGCAACATGGCCGCTGAATTCTGCACCAGCTGATGTTTCCAAACCATCATTAGAGGCAGTCCCAAGTATAACACATGGCAGTAATCTAACCTAGAAGTTACCAGAGCATTGAGGATAGTAGTTAAGCTATCCCTGTCCATATAAGGGCATGGCTGGACCACCTGCCGTAGCTGATGGAAAGTACTCTGATCAAAGCTGGTTTTGGGGGAAATGTATGAAAGCACAGCATTGCTTAATCAGCTACAGGATAGATAAGGATTGTGGGCAATGTGGCTTCAAAAACTAGCAGTAGGAGCACACTTGATGCAGAATAAACAGTAATGTGTGTGCACAGCCTTAGTCTTTATTTAACTGACATCTTGCACTAGCAAGTTGACAAATGAACAATATGTAAGTTTGGGGAAGGCAAATATGTTGCACATACAGCTGTTTTATATCCCTGAATCACTTCTGTGTAGAAATGGCATTGGGAGTGTGTGTGCTTTATTTGCTACATGTACATGCCACAAGATACTTAAGCCTTGGTCACTTATGCTGAACACATTTTGATATAAGGAAGTGATATTTCTTTAAGACATTGTTCTGTCTTTAAGACATTGTTCTGTCAAGTTAGCTGTATATATGGAGAGCCTCAAGGACACGTGGAAATTCCTATTTGTCATTTACAATTTGTTTGCAGCATGTGGCCCAACTAAAGAGGCTGCTTGTAATCTGCTTTACCTGTTTCTCCCCCCTGCCCCTCCGGGCAAAAAATGAGCGCACAAAAAACAGAGTGTGACTTCTGGGGTAACGGTTAAAATAATAATCTGTGTGTCTAGGAATAGTGAATGAGGATATTTCCCTTTCTTCTGCTCCAACTGGAAAAACATACATGAATGAAACTTCATTTGCATTTGTAAAACACAGATAAAATAGTGTGGGTCTGATCCAATGGAAGGAGCTGTTTCCTTCATTGAAATGAATGGGTGTGCTGATGTGTACTGAAGTGCATGCAGTATGTGACTTTTATGCTTGTTTGCCCAGGTGAGAATTGTGGAGTCAGACCAAAAGGTAAGAACTCTTGAAATGGGAAGGACCATTTTTAAATTATAAGTTCATATTCTGTAGAATATTATATTGTACAAAGGTAATGTTTTCATTATCCTTTTAAGATATATGCTGCCTAATGTGTTGTCGTATATTGCATGTTTTATATAATAGTTTAGCTCTAAAGAAAAAGGGATAAAACGTTTTTGTGTATAATATGTTGTAAATGTATATTTTTTTATAAAAGCAGCTTTTTAAATTTCTCAGTCTGTACAAACTACCATGTAAATAATTTCCTGTAAATAACTTCTTGAACAATAAATGTTTTCCATTGAAATGTTTCCTTTTTTTACTTTGAAGGAACTGCTTTGGTATTTTCCATTATGATAGGCAGGATTCACTCAAGGAGACCCATCAGCAGAAGCCCTGTGCAAGGACTTCGCTTGCACTATGGAACACCCCCCCCCCAAGGTCACTCCCTGAAATTGATTGGGGGGGTGGAGAACCCACCCCACCCCCAAGCAATATGCACACCATACATTTAAATCAACCCCCCAGAAGAATCTGGGAATAGTAATTTACCCCTTCTAGTGGTATAGTTCCTATCACCCGTAACAAACTAGTTCCCAGGATTTGGAAGTGTGTAATTTAAATGCATAGTGTGCCAGGTGACCTAAAGCTGCTTTTCTTGAAAAATCTTACAGTATTACATGTTAAATTCTTTTAACTTCATTTAAACACAGTTCTAATAATTGGTGCTCAAGGGGAGTTCATATTACACCTTAATAATCTGTGCAATGAATAATAAAAATAGCCAAGGACAATTCACATACAAAAGAACAAAAGGCTGTGTCATCTTCCCAAAAAGTCTTTGCCTGCTACCTAAACGTTTCCAGCAAGGGCCTCAGCTCTGAGGGAAATGTTCCATAAAGCAGGTACCATGACACAAAATCTCAACCCATGTCTTGGCCAGTCCATTATTTGATTGTTAGCTGATCTAGGACCATTATCACAGTGGGGAGAGGTATTCTTGGAGATACTGGCTCTTTCTTTCCATGCAGAGTTCATTCAATATATCACATGGTTCCAAAAAAATTGTACAGACCAAATTCCCAGTTTTACATCGACTTCTGGAACAAAATGGCCATTTGTGAGTGGCACTGATTTGATAGTGGTTCAAAATAGGGGAAAAACAAGAAGATGGAGCAGATTTGTTCTCTATTCAGAAGGCAAGATTAAAAGTAAAGGGTGGAAATAGCATAGAAGCAGATTGTGATTAAATTTTGGGATAAAGGCCCACTGTCAAGCAGTTCTTCCTGTTCGGAATACAGTGGTACCTCTGGTTACAAACTTAATTTGTTCCGGAGGTCCGTTCTTAAGCTGAAACCGTTCTTATCCTGAGGTGCGCTTTCGCTAATGGGGGCTCCCGCTGCACGCCCGCCTCTGCCGCTCAATTTCCATTTGCATCCTGGGGCAAAGTTCACAACAAGGAGCAGCTACTTCCGGGTTAGCGGAGTTCGTAACCAGAAGTGTTCGTAACCAGAGGTACCACTGTAGTCTATGGTGGGAAGTGGGGGCCCTCCTTCAATGAAAGCACATAAACAGAGGCTGGACAGCCAATTTGGCAGGTAGGGATCCTTTTCCAGTAGCATAAGTAGTGGTTACTGGAATTATGTGGAAGAGTCTACATTTGAGTAGAGCATCAGTGTAGATGACAAACTGATTTGACTATTAAGATGTTTTACACAAAGGTACATAACATGCCTGGTGGGCAATTTGAATAATAAAAATGATGAGGACCTGTTAGCTTCAACTGATCAGTTTAACTAAGCATTTTGCTCTGTAGGGTAGGAGATCTGTCACTAGGTGGTGCACTTTGCCTCTTAATTTTCATCAAATGCATGGCACTGAACTTTCTATTCATCTCATAGCTTATTTGAATAGTTTGCATGTTATGTAGTGACAGTGCTCCTACAGGATTCAGTCACAATGTGATTCATCTTTTTCAACAAGTTTTGTGTCTTCATCAGAAGAGCCCTACTAGATTTTACCTCTCTTGTCAGAGTCAGTATGCCTCTGAATACCAGCTGCTCCAAATCGCAAGTAGGGAAAGTGCTGCTGTGTTCAGGTTCTGCTTTCTGGCTTCCCATAGGTACCTGGCTGGCTACCATGAAAACAGGATGCTGGATTAAAGGAACCACTGGCCTGATCCAGCTCTTGGCAGCCTCCGTCTGTCTCAACAGGCAATGGGGTGCACCTCTGAGGATGAAGCCAAACCGCTGCATTAGCAGCACTGTAGTGACTTTGGGACACAAGCCTGGGCAGTGTGCATGGGGGTCCTGGTCTGCCCAGATGACAAGACCCCCCTCCCACCCCTCGGTCTAGCTGATGTAGTCCAGAGGAAAGCAGAGCAATATATTTGGCACCAGCTTAGCTGCAAGAGTTGCTGGATGGAGTCGTACAAGGCACCATCAAGCTGTCTTAAGGACTCCACTCCAGATTTGTGTAGGGTTTACTCCTTAGCCTTTTCTTCTCCCGAAGATGTCCCTCAAGGCAGTGGAGGTTTAGGACCAGAGTTTACCTTCTAGATGGACTACCTTCCCAGGTTGAAGAGCCCCACCTGCCCCTCACTTCCCTCTACAGCAGCTTTCTTGACGAGACCAGCTTTCTTGGACCCTATTGGTTTCATCCGCTCAATCTTCCAGAGCCTGTGTTCACATGCAGAGAAAGTCCCTAACTCACTGAGGGTTTGAGACACATTGGCTACCCTCACCTGATTTAGCTGGCCAGTCAAAGCTGCTCCTGGGGTGTGGCCACTGTCTCAGCTTCTCGGAGCCACAAGTGTGAATGGAATTCTAGGCTAGATGGGTCTTTGACCTGATAGCTGGAAGGGACCAAGTCCAACCCCATGCAATGCAGGAATCTTTTGCCCAGTGTGGGCCTCGAACCCACAACCCTGAGATTGTGTCTCATGCTCTACCAACTGAGCTATATGTTCTTATTCTCCACACCTAGGATAACTCTGTTGTTTCTTTACGTGTTTTCTTATTAAACCCTACCTGCTCAAAATACCTCAAGGGCTTTGCAGTTTACATCCCACTGTTTTAGTCTATAAACAGGTTCTTAACAGATATTAAAATGGAATAAGCCCAGAGGAGTCATTGAAACAGATGGAACACCCACCCTTATCAGCTGCTTCCTTTTTCACTTAAAAGACTGTGTAAAAGTGACTAATAAGTTCCATTAGTAATGAACCAATAGAAATCTTTAACAGCCTGTGAAAAACCTGTAAGTGTCCTGGTCTAACCAGCATGGACCTCCACAGGTATAGCACCACTAGAGGGGGTCCTCTTCCTCAGAGCCATTGACCTCTCAGCCAGCAGAAGTCCTCCAAGCAGTTCTTGATGATGCTAGACAGGACTAGTGTGGTGCCCTCTAGATGTTGGTCTCCAGCTGTCATCAACCCCAGCAAGCATGGCCAGATCTTAATGAAGTTCCAGTAAGACATGTAATTGCATGTAATTGTTTTTCCTGACCCTGAGAAAAGTTTGCACCCAGGGCAACTGCCCAGAGTACCGGCACCTTCTTTTCTTAAAGAAACAAAGCACTGCTTATTGCCATATCTCACTTTATCATATCTAATTGGGTGGTTATATATACCAGTAGCAAACTCTTAATTCCTCTTAGTGCATAAACTGATGCAGCCCACGCAGCACCGCCTGCATGCTAGATGAGAGGCATCTGCTGGCTTGGAGAAACCTCCAGGTTTGCTGAAGAACAAAAATGGGGGGGGTACTAAGCAGAGGGACCCCCCAGAGAACTGAGCATGCTCACTGGATGCAGGATGCTGTCTTTGGAGGAATGAGGAATGGAAAATGGTGAGGAGGAACAGAATAGAGTACGTATTCAGAACAGAAGTGCTCCACACAACATCTTTCTGTTGCTGCTCCCACTCACATTTCTTCTCAGATGGTTTTAAAAAGAATTATTTGGAAGTTTGACCTATTTCCTTACGACTCTGATAAAAACATGCACTTGCAGAAGTCCTGCTCCTAACTTTTTGGACAGAACGACCTGTAGAATCCGTTCGGTAAACATCATTAAAGTTTCCTGTGGAAACTTCCAAGGGAAGCCCAGGGCGATCTGGCAAGGTCTTGCTGCTGTCAAGTAACAAAAAGAACAGGGCTGATTCTTCCTTTCAATTTCAGAACAACATTTGCTGGTAGTTGGAAAATGCAAGATCTAGATGTACTTACTTGATCATTTCTCTGAATGAGGCTTTGCGGCACACTTCAGAACATCAGTCGGATATTAATGTAGTGGTTTTTTAAATAATGATGATAAGAAAGACAATGAGATTCACAGAACATTCTGTATTCAAACAGATAGCTATTGCCCAAGCCTTGTTCTGTGAGGCTTGATGTTACAACTCATGCCCAGTTAAGCTAGTTCATTTCCACTGAAAACCAATTTGATGCCATTGGAAACTAGTGTGCTTCCTTCACACTGTTATGTTGTTTTTTTGTGTGGGTGGGGTTGCAGGTGCATTCTGGAACATATCACTGGTGCTACAAAAACGTATTCATAGTGGATTTATACTGGACTGTTCACACATTCTGCTTTATTAGTTCTGTAATGCTTCCCTAATGTTAATCACTTTATTCCCCAATTGAGGAGTACTCTTGCACTAAAGTGCAACAAAAATGGGACCCAACCCCCCAACCCCCCACAGAGGCCATCTGAATGGGAAATAGTGATTTTCCAGGTGTTTTCTCTTGTGACATGGCACACTTGAGGCTTGTTTCCAATGGACTCCCAGAGAAGCATCAATTCAGTATTGAGAGCTAGGACCTCTCCATATGTCCCTTTTTATTGCTTATCCATGATGATTTGTGCTCACAATGCTAGCAGGATGGTCACACACAGTCCCACTTTGAATACACTTTGTGCCTTTAGATGCTTTGGTACGGTCACACTGCTTTGTTTCCAATCTGTGCATATCCTTCCACTTTCTGCTGAAATCCTGTAATTTTTTATTACTACAAAAGTAAGCCCTGGCTTATTTTTGTGCTGCTTTTGCGGTGCCTCTCCAGGCAGCAATAATGTTGTGACATTGGGGCATCATTGCAGAACAAACTGAAGCAGAATAAATCCCCCACTCATACAGTATGATTGTGTCACAAATACACCCGCAATAAATCTCCCATCTGGAGGGACCCAAAGTCTGCACAATCAGAAATATTGTGGACTACAGCTCTGCTGTTTCTGCAGCATTTCAATCCTTGTTGAAAGCTCCCCTGTGCAAAAATAAATAAGAAAGAAAGAAAGAAAGAAAGAAAGAAAGAAAGAAAAGATTTCTCCATGGAAAGGAAACATAGCACAGAAGGGAGTTCAAGAACCCAGAGCCCTCTTCTTAAATGTACTGGTTTTTTATGGGCAATTTTTTCTGGAGCTTCTACAGTCTCAAGAGGGTTATCCAGATATGAATATCAGCTGCTAGGGACAACTTTGAGTCAAACATCAGAGTCTGCTTTCAGATGGAAAAAGGAAACAGATAAAATATATGCCATACATGGCTGTGTTCAATGCAGGGACAGCCAACATGGTGTCCTCAAGCTGTGTGGGCCTCCAGTTCCTATCATCCCAGCCAACATGACCACTGATGTTGTTCCACAACAACTGGAGGGCACCCCATTGACTCTGCCTGATGTAATAATGTGTCATTTGGCCACAATACTAAGCCACAGTTCTTGCTGCAGTCCTAATAGGAAAATAAAATATCAAACTTTTTTTCCTAAGGTATAACAACTTTTGTAGTGGGTGATTCAGACTTGAGTCTGCTAGCCCCTTGCCAGATGGGGAGCAGCAGCAGCAGCTGGCTCAACACCTGTGTGGAAGCAGGAATGCCTGTAATACTATCTGTCCAATTACTTCCTGCAAACAGGAGATGGGTCATGACCGGGTTAAACTAGTTGATCTTTTCCTGACAACTATAGAATAAGAACTGAAAGCTGACCTTCTCTTTCCATCTTAACATGTCACAAACATATTACTTAATGGGGGATATGGCTGGATTTACCATCTTGCTTGGTCATATGCCAAGGATGCTTCAGAAGCACAAGCTCTCACAGCCCAGACACTGACCATCAGGCAGGAGCAAGTCAGATGTCAGTTATGGTCAACTCACCAATAAAACAAAATATCAGGAGTGGAAGAGAAGTCTTGCCTGGGGTGATTTGTCAGATACCCCACGCACACGACTGAAGGTCCAAGAAATCCATCCCTCTGTTAGGAAGCTGGGAACTGAAATTGGGCAGAAAGGGGGAACAGTCGTCATATTGCATCATCATTACAATGGGGGGAAAGAGAATAAATAAATCAACAAGAAAAGCCTAATCATATAAAGATCTTAATCTGATTTGGAATGGATCATCCTTTTTTCATGGCAAGCATATAACACACAGAAACAGACACCATATAACAACAATAATTTGAATAGCTTTCTTGAGAGATGGTTGCTGAAGGTTTATTTGCACGATCGTACACGTACGTGGGTGGCGCTGTGGTCTAAACCACTGAGCCTAGGGCTTGCCAATCAGAAGGGCAGCGGTTCGAATCCCTGCAACGGGGTGAACTGTTGTGTGGTCCCTGCTCCTGCCAACCTAGCAGTTCAAAAGCACGTCAAAGTGCAAGTAGATAAATAGGTACCACTCCAGCGGGAAGGTAAACGGTGTTTCCGTCTGCTGCTCTGGTTCACCAGATGTGGCTTAGTCATGCTGGCCACATGATCCAGAAACTGTCTGAGGACAAACGCCAGCTCCCTCGGCTAGCAAAGCGAGATGAGCGCCGCAACCCCAGAGTTGTCCCCGACTGGACCTAACGGTCAGGGGTACCTTTACCTTACCTTTACAGTATTTTACTTATGGTGTTGCTATCCTGCACTAGTCTTGGATAATATTGGCACAGGTTTGTGACACCTATTCCTTTCAAACCTCCCCTGGATCATATCAAAAGTCCATCTGGCCTAATATACTGTTTCCTACAGTGACCGACCAGATGTTTCAGGAAAGCACACATGAGTTGCTTTCTGCCTTTTAGATTCTGCGGCCACGTGCAAGAAAATAATAATAATTTCATGCATCAGAAATATGTTGCCATTGCCCCGCAGTTTTGGGGTATTTTTTAATGTTCATTCCTTCATTTCTACAGATGACTGCAATTGTTCCCTAACATCTGGATGACCTGTGTAAGAGCAGCAGGAAACCACACGTGCTTTATCAATTGCGCCATATGTTTATAATACTGAATGAGTGCTTAAAGCTCTTCAGGAAGAATTTCCGATACTCTGAATGGATTTGATTATCCACCAAGTGTAGTAGATGGTGAACTCACCCACTTCATTTTGGGAAAATATTCTCCTCCATTGAGAAAGTGAATAATAAAGATAAAAAGGGACAAAAGGCTCAGGTGTTTAGTAATGCTTTTCCTTTCCCAGTAGTGAAAGAGAGAAATTCTTAACAATTTTTTTACATCAGGGACGTAGTGATCAATAGAATGATGGGATGCTTTTGAATATGTTGTATCAGGCAAGATGCCACAATTCTGACACAAGATTGGTGTTACAATTACTGTGATGCTGATAATTACAGCATCAACATATTTTCATACAATTCTATGATTCTATGATCCATGTAAATCCTCCAGAACAATCAATTTCTTCAGGATATAGATTGTCTTTTGGAGTCCAGGTTGACCTCCTAAATGACAAGCTATGTTCTAGCCAAGTCCTACAGTCGCATTCCAAGATACTGAGGCATAATTATCCAGCAATTTGACATGGCAACCACATTATATTCTTGAATCACAGGCTTTGAGAAGATCAGCACAGCTGGTTGATTTAGGTTACGGAAGGGAAACTTGTGGTTTTCCCGATCTTGTTGGACTCCAACTCCCATCAGCACCAGCCAGCATGGCCAACAGTGAGGGATGATGG